TTGGAGACCGCGTCCTCCACGAAGATAAGAACTCGGGGGTTGAATTTGGCCGGGCAGAAGGCGGCAGCGGGAAAATTGGAAAGGAAAGGGGGAAGGGGCGCATGTGTGGCTTCCGCCCGTTTCCGCTTTTTGTCTTCCATCGTGAATTCCATCCAGCGAATCGGGCCACACCCTCCTCCCTTTCATCGCTCGCTTTCATACTCCCACTCCATTGAAAGGTGGTAGCGCGCCACTTGCGCGATTTCATTGGCGGCCGCGATCTCTTCGACACTTGGAGCGGAATGGAACTGTCAACCGTGTTTTTCAGGTGGACATCACCGAGCTGTGCCCGTCGGCCACGGTCCTCGCCCAGCAATTGACCCACGTGGAACTCGAGAGGCTCTCGTACATCGGCCCCGAAGAATTCGTCCAAGCTTTCGCCAAGGTTTGTATTTTATGTGTGTGTATGTATGTGTGTGTGTCTGCTTTTTTATTCCTGTCACGTACTCACGATGATTGTGTATTCTTCGCTTTTTTCTTTTCTGGGCTTCGAAGATGTAGATTGATAAATTTTGTCTATAGATTCGATAAGGCGAACGTGAAATAAGTTTGCTTTATTTTAATCTTGAAGTTTTCTTGCTTTTCTGATCGATGAAATTCGAATGAGAATTTTCAAAAATTTTATACCAATGATGGATTTAATGTGAATTTATTCAACAAATAGGAATCCCCTCATCTGGAAACATCGTTTAAGGATATGAAGAAAACGCGCAATCTCGAATCGTACATCCAATGGTTTAACAGACTGAGCTATTTCGTCGCGACTGAAGTATGCAAGGTAAGTCGAACACGCGGATTCAACAATTATTTATAAGTGTTCATTGGTGAATATTGATACAAGAGAAGTAATTAAAAAAAAAGGGGGAGAAAGAATTATCGTTTCTTGGTTTTCAGCATCCAAAAAAGAAACAACGAGTCCGGGTGATTGAATATTGGATCGAAACAGCCCGTGAGTGCTTCAACATCGGCAATTTCAACTCTCTGATGGCGATCATCGCTGGTTTGAACATATCACCGATATCTCGTCTGAAGAAAACGGTAAGTCGCATGTTATAAGTATAATTTAAATATAAAACAACAAGTTTAAACTCCTTCGAACATTAAATTATCTGATAAAATTATTCTTTTTTCTTCCAAAATTTTTTCTTCTAAACAAACACTTTACAATTACAATATCATACACCTTCTTGAATTTCTTATATACATGTAATGAAATAAGTTCAATTTCCACGAAATCTACGAAGCTACGTTAACCTTACAGCAATACAACATGCTACAACTTTTCTAAAAATGTATAATAAATAAGAAAATAAATTTTAGAATCTCCTCGGGATCCACAATTAGGCTCGAGCACAAAATAACATGAAAATCTACGATTCTACGATTTACGTAATCGTAAAAAAAATGAAAACAAATCAAGAGAAAACGATCAATCAGGCGTGGATAAAATCGATCGACGAAGAAAAAGCGATGCGTTGAATTAAAAGACACCGGAGAGAGAAAATGATGGACGATGGCTGAGGACATTTTTATGATGAATCTGTTTCGTCGAAACTGAATTCGTCGACTACGACTAGGTCCAGTCGCAAAACACGTAACACGTCGAATTGCTTCTCGCCCACTTCTAGGGGATCGTACATTGCAATCAGGGATGTGTAATCCTCGTAAATCGAGCATGGCGCCGCGATGACCGGCGTTAATGACGAATCGCCGTGAATCGAGTTTCCGTTGAAACGAGATCCGAAAACGGAGAACGTATTCGAGCGGGGGAATTTTCGGAGGCGGTGAAAAAAAAAGAAACGAGATGGATGGCGGATCGCGCCGCTCTAATTGAATTTTTGCATCACTGTTTCGCGCCTTGTTCGATTGAAACGTACACCGGACATCGGGTTAATTAGAAAGCGTGCTCGGATTCAGTACTGCATATTGCGATTTTTAATTGGGATTTGTCTCTTCATTCCATATCGCGTTTTTCTAAAAATCTTGGATTTTAATTGGGAACGAAGCTCTGTGAAGGAAGGGGAAATATTTAATTTTGTATTCGGAATGTATTTTTTTTATTTCTCATTATTTAGAATATATTTTGAGAACTAACTTTGAAATAATTTGTGATCGTGTTTATCGATTTATCGTTGTTGTATATCGTAAATTTGCTTGGCAATTTAAAATTTTGTGTGTCATTTATTTGAGAAATTCTATTAGGTATGTATGGAAGAATGTATAGAATATAATGAAGAAGATGAGTATGATTTAATCTAGCATATTTAAAAATGCACATTCAATTCTGGGATTAATTAGTTTATTTTGTACGATGTATTTCACTTCGTCCATATTTGAAACTTGGTACCATATTTTCTAGTTTTGAAAAAGAATTAAATCAAAAACCTAAATGAAAGACTAAATGTAAAAAGAATTTTTTATGAAATGCTAAAACTTCATTTTGAAATTTTATATACATACGTACATTCTCTCGCAAAAATTTCACAAAAAAAAGCTCTTCTTATTAAAACAAAATGCCAAAAAAAGAACTTCCAACACGAAATAAAAATCTTTAATGCGTATCATCCATATTGAAATACAAATGTTTCGTATTATATATATCGTGATTTATTTTAATAAAAATATCCTTTTTATTTGTCGTACGAAGAATTTCAAGAGTTCAAATACAATCGAATTACAATCGATTCCAAATTAATGCAACGAGATTCGAAATCGGTGGAAAATCGTCTGAAATTTTCACCGTGGAACAAAAACAACGCCACATAAAACGCTACGCTGGAAAAAAAAGGAGAAAAATTGTTTCAATCGAAAAGACGAAACGAAATTCGACGAAGAACGAAAAAGTCCAAGAAAAGAAAAATCGAGTGTAACGCGAATTTAATCCAAAGCGTAGAAAAAACAGGAACATCCGCATTTCGATCCTTCGGATAATACCGGCGAAATAATCGAATGGCGCTTTGCGCGTAACAATTGCGACAAAAGAAAGAATAAAGATGAAGATAAAAAGAAGAAGACGGAAGAGAAAAGTGGGAAAAAAGGGAGAAGAAATACATATCGCGCGACTTCCTGTCAATCTTTCACGATATTACTTCCTGGAGGAAGGACAACTTCTTTCGTCCGCCATTTTCCTTTTTTCGCAATGAAATGCTGGTAGAAATGAAAAGACGTAAGAAAATATAATAGACTCCTCGATTGTTCCAATGTGTACTTATCGATTATTTGAAAATTCTTTGGCTCGAAATATAATATTAGCAATTGATCGAAAAGTTATTTATTTCGTAATTTTGATTAGTTTTATGAGTTTCGTAGTTTTACCGTGAACGTATAATGAGATATAGATATAAAAATTGATTACGAAATATATTGAAATGGAATTGGATTAAAGTTTGCTCGTAGTATTAGTATCTAATACAACTATCGAATTTCAGAAATTCTCGGAAGAGATCCCGGTCATCGCAATTGTAGAAGAATTAGAGAGGATATAAAAGTAGAAATCTTTTTTCCAAATACGGGACAATGTTCGAAATCCATGTTCCTTAAAATCGGATTAAAACGAAAAGAATTATTGGATAAGCAATAAATTCCAATACGAGAACTATTCTGAAATAGTTGTTCCGAATTTTCTAAAAATAACCGTATCTCCTCGATACAATTTTTTTTTTTTTCATGCCATCGACGAATAAACAACGATCCCAATAATATTTACGAGAAGATAGGAGAAGATAGGAATAGACATCGATACCTAGAAGCTTCCAGAAGAATTATCCGAAAAATAAACGGCGTGTTTCGACTTTTTAAACAATCCATCCATGTGTACCGTGCATTTATAGAACCGTGGATTCGCCATAAATGGAGTTCCAATCTTCTGGAGGAACGAAATAACAACGGAAGAAGGTTAAAAATAACGGACACGAGCTCGTAACAAAGGTATTAATGGAGATTTCGACGATATTGTATGGCTCGATCCGATTTAAATGGAAATATTCTCGTCGGCGATCAAGCCGCAATTTCATCGTGGATTGTATTAAACGGTTGCATGAATCGTGCGTGAAAATGGAATGACCATTATGATAAATAAAATTAAGTTTCTCTTCCCCCCTCCCCCTGCCCCTCTCTTTTTTAAATTTGCAAACGAATCTCGCGTCGTCTAGTTTCATAAAAATGTTCATAAATATTTCGTTTCACGGGTCTGTTTGCAATAAAAAGGTCGGGACGAATATATCCTCGCAAATGAATATACGCGAGAGTGTGTGACGTAATTAACATGTCAAGTTATGATTATCTGACAGAGCATGTATTTTCGTGGCTTTTAAAGTATAAAAAAAAAAAAGAAGGTGTTGGAATAAAGAAACATTCGAAAAGGACAAAAGATAACATTAAATATCCAAAGATTGAAATTATTATAAAATTGTAAAATGGTTTTAACTTTTAACTTTTATTAAGGAATGTTAGAATTGCTTTTAACAATTTTGTGTAGAATTAATGTAAATCTTAATAATTTTAACATTTGACATTTTTGGATAACATTTTTAATTTTTCAAAGAACGTAATTTTAAAAAATTCTATTTTTGAATATTTGTTATAAAGTGGGTCAAAGATACGTTGCAATTTAAATTTAAAATTATGAGATTAAAATATAAATATAAATTTCTTTGCCACGGAATAACTTTGTGGATATGAGAGAATGATAAAAAGTGAGCAATTACGTTTGATGTAAACTGGAAAACAATTAAATTTGACATAAAGTAGAAATCTCGGTTGGTAGATTTGTTAAGGCAACCGTAACATTCGTTCCAAAGAATTTTTAAAAAAAAATTAATTGAAAAATACTTTATATGTGTCGGCAAGTGAAAAAATTTTCTTTATTCTTTTATACATATATATGCACATATATGTATAATAATTCTATGTACTACGATTTTTTCTTTGTCAACAAATTTTATCCATTTATCCATCTCTATTTAAAAAGTCTTCGTGAAAAGATTTCTCGCGGAACGAAAGAACTCTCTGACAATAAAATAAAAAAAAAATAAATATTCCAAGATAATGGATAAAAAAAACATTGAAAAAGAAAAGATAGGGAAAAACACGTTAGTTAATTTTATTTCTTGAAAAGATCAGACGACAAATTCTGACGGATCGTGGACCGCGTACGACTTTATCGCGGAGACAAATTGCGAGGCGGAACGAGAAAACCATTAAACCATTTTTTCTTTTTTTTTTTTTTTTTTTTTCTCGTTTTTAATTACGAGACCGGTCTGCTCCGCGGACACATCCCTCTATTCGACGCGGTTTGCTATTCGGAGTTCATTTGGTTCGGCCAGCTGATTTATACAGGGCCATCCTTAAAATAATTGCTGCAACTATCAGCGGCCAGCCAGCGTGGCCTCGCTTCGTAATTTTCGTTAATGAAAATTTAACGCTTCTGC